CTGCGCCCAGGCTGTACTACACTCGGACTCGCGGATCTATCTGTTTCACAGAGGTAAGCCTTGGCTTTAAATTGGGTTTGAGTTTAAAACCCTCTCTTTCCTGCTTGAGTTGGATTCAGAAGTCTACTCATCAGACGTAAGTGAAGATGTTAGAGTAACTGTACAAGAAGAGATGAAACTTCATCTTCTTCTGCCCTTTCTGGTTAGGAAAGGGGAAAAATTAACTTTTATCAGGGGACTCCCTTCGAAATAAAAGTTAATTTAATTTTTAATCTAGTCTATTTCCTGTAAAAGATTATATACTTCGGATTGAAGTTATTGATTTTCTTCTGTTTATCAATTTTTTAAATTGTAATGGCAAATAGATGTTCATATTCAATGTCTAAATTATGTTCTTTTCGACAACCCAACCCAAAATAGTTTGCATATAAAGGAAAGATAACTTATATAGAATCGTAAAATTTGAATCCAACTAATAAAATAGGAAATTAACAATACAATTTTAACAAGTTTTATAAATAAATACTAAGTGATATCTAATAATATTGATTTTAAATTACTAAAAAATAAAATCTATTTTTATATTAGTATTTTTAATAATAATTTGCATTCAGTAATGTTTCAATTGAAAATTACTCAGAAATAAATCACCTATTAAAACTAGGTTATTAAAAATAAGTTATAGGTGCACTAATATAAAGGGAATAAAAGTGTCAATAAATTTCTTACGAAAAACCAGAAATAACTTCTCAAGTAGGACTAGAAATTCTAGGAATAAATAGAATTAACCAAAAGTGCACTGATGATAGATGCTTTAAATATTAAAAATAGATGTATTGATATATTTAATATATCAATATGGTCACTATCATGATTGATTTATTAAAACACAGTGGAAGTAAGCTAATTGGCAGCTATCCTTCTCCAAAGTAAACAAAAGAATAATGGCATTGAAAATAAAAATATGGTGAAATCCGAATCCAGATAATATTTATCTCTTTATATAGCTCACAATGTTCTAATAAGCTTTTTTTGTTTTTAAAACTTTTTCTTTTATTGGCTATTCTAGCTCTAGAATCTGCTTTATATTGCAAAGGTTTAAAATTATTATTTGCAAAATTATCATGAACTTTACTTGCTCTTGTGCGAATTGCTTCATTTTTTATTCTTTTCTCAGGTTTTTTTCATCCTGCGTTCTTGTATTGTGTCTTCTGCTATTTTTCAAATTAAAATTTATTTCTATTCTATTCGGGAACCTTCAAAGCAAAATTGGAATTGTGATTTAAGATCAATTATTGTTTTTTTCTATTACCACTGTAGTGTTATTTTAATACATATAATCAGAGCAAAACTCATCAAGTATTTAAAATTGTCATATTTTCAATTTCAGAGTTTTGCCACAACATGTTAGTATAATTTGAACAAAATAACATGTATATTATTACCAATAATCCTTGGCTGAAATGTTTTAATTTTAATTTAGTCTCTAGTCAAAATCTTTAAATCAGCGATGTAGATTTTGTTATTAAAAATTACAAAATGTTATTGAATCTATTAATTTAATTCCAAATCTGATTAAGCATATTCGATGCTTATTATTGAAATAATCATTAACAAGAGTTTCTTTTTGGGCAATTTTTTATGATATTTTAATAATACCCTCATTTATACAAATCTGTTTGACATATTTTATTAGGAATAGATTAATCATTTTGTAAAAATAAATATTATTTATAGAAATTTATAATTTATCTAACTTATTTGTAATTCAATTTGAATTAGTCTTCTTTTTTTCATCTGGCTTTCCTACAATTACTAAGTGAATTCTTGATACTTCGCAGCTGATCAATCAATTTACTACCAAATATTTTACACAATTTAGAAATGTCAAATGTTATAAAATATTTACGATCGTGTTTATGGACTTTCAAAGCTTCATCCCAAAAAAATTCTATCTCATATGATTTTATTTAATAATCCTCACTTTCAGGAGATTTTCCTTTTGATAAATAATCATCTGAATATTCTACAACCAATTCTGAAAATTCATTTTGTAGTAAGACTTCTGTATTTAGTATTTTTAATTTTCCGTTTCCATCCTTTTTGCCTTCCTTCCAGTATCCATCATACTCATAGTTATTTATCCAATCTTTAATCAAGCCTTTTCCGTCATATTTGTTGTCTTATAGTCCTCCTTGATAAAATGTAATCAACTCAAACTTGGGTTTATTATAAATGTTTATTGTCACCTCCTCACCAAAATTTTTATCCTATTCAAGGTTATATTTTACATTTTAATAATCTAAGATTTAGTACTTAGTTTCTTCAATAATTCTCCCTTCATATTTTTTTTTATATCCAAATT